GTTCCCACCATGTGATGGCATCTTCGGCAAGATGGGCAGCCGCATAGTGAATCTTCCTTCTGTTCGTCAAGGAATAACATTCGAAATTGGCATCCATTTGGCGCTCCCACTCAAGATAAACCTCGGGCTCCTCCTTTCCAGTAAACACGAAAAGTTTGAACTTTGGATCAGCCCTCTCATCACGAGTTGGTCGACGATATTCTCGGTCATATGGATCCTTGAATCGGCCATCATCGAGGGGTTCATGGTGAGGCCTCTTTAGATTTTTAGGCATGGTTCTCTTCCCCTCACTTTTTTTGTTTAGCTCCCTAGCAGATTCCACTGGTTCGCTCACCTCCTCAAGTCGTGTGATACGATCTTGAATCTGTTGGATCATCCTATAAACCGAACTGTCACTGGATACGTTTGCCATCGATACTGAGAAAGCAAGCCACGGTATATGCAAGTAACAAAACGTGCAGCACTAAGTCCGAACAAATATAGCAGAAACGTTCAACGTGCAACAATGTCATGTACAAGCTAAAACATGCACTTCATGCAACAAGTAACGTTTTGGTTCCTAAACAGTTTCAGAAGTACTTAGATGTTTTCAATCTGTTTCTAAGCTCAATTAGGGAACACAAAAGGTCTCTCAAACTAACAATTTACCCAGATTCGTGCTTGGTACCTCTTGCCAAAAGAACAATTCGGAAACGAACAACAACCACTCAACAATACGATCGGTAATGACACAAATGCAAACAGATTTCGAAATGATCAAAGTGAATGAAAGGAACAATACAACCGTGGGGGAAGGCTGTGATTTAGGACACCGAAGAGCCTTTCCAAGTCGTGACTAGAGACTTGTTGTCAGTTTGACATATCATCAGTATTTGACTGTTTTGATTATGCTAAACTTTGAATTATTTGTCGAGCCATATATCAAACTCTTCCTCTTTCAAAGACGAATCCAACCATAGGTCGCTTTGCTTGAAATTTCAATTTTTACACCTCGAAACCATGCTCGTAAACTGACTGAAGAACATCCGACGATTACATCTCATTGCAATCAAACTTAACAACCTATTTCGTGTCTTGCAGGAGATCGATTAGGGTCACGACTTGGAAAGGCTCTTCGGCGTTCTGAATCACAGCCTTCCCCCACGTTTGTATTGTTCCTTTCATTCACTTTGATCATTTCGAAATCTGTTTGCATTTGTGTCATTACCGATCGTATTGTTGAGTGGTTGTTGTTCGTTTCCGAATTGTTCTTTTGGCAAGAGGTACCAAGCACGAATCTGGGTAAATTGTTAGTTTGAGAGACCTTTTGTGTTCCCTAATTGAGCTTAGAAACAGATTGAAAACATCTAAGTACTTCTGAAACTGTTTAGGAACCAAAACGTTACTTGTTGCATGAAGTGCATGTTTTAGCTTGTACATGACATTGTTGCAAGTTGAACGTTTCTGCTATATTTGTTCGGACTTAGTGCTGCACGTTTTGTTACTTGCATATACCGTGGCTTGCTTTCTTAGTATCGATGGCAAACGTATCCAGTGACAGTTCGGTTTATAGGATGAACCAGCAGATTCAAGATCGTCTCACACGACTTGAGGAGGTGAGCGAACCCGTGGAATTTGCTAGGGAGCTAAACAAACAAAGTGAGGGGAAGAGAACCATGCCTAAAAATCTAAAGAGGCCTCACCATGAACCCGTCGATGATGGCCGATTCAAGGATCCATATGACCGAGAATATCGTCGACCAACTCGTGATGAGAGGGCTGATCCAAAGTTCAAACCTTTCATGTTTACTGGAAAGGAGGAGCCCGAGGTTTATCTTGAGTGGGAGCGCCAAATGGTTGCCAATTTCGAATGTTATTCCTTGACGAACCGAAGGAAGATTCAATATGCGGCTGCCCATCTTGCCGAAGATGCCATCATGTGGTGGGAACGAGAACAAAGCAATCGACGCCGTGCACATTATGATCCGGTTTTCACTTGGAAGGAAATGAAGACCCTCATGCGGAAAAGGTATGTACCTCGACATTGTCTTCATGAATTGCAATATAGTTTTGATAACATTGTGCAGGGGGACAAGACGGTTGATAAATACTATGGAGAATTTGAGCAACTCCTCGCTTACTTGCAAATCGACGATGATGAAGAAGAACTCATGATGCATTTCCTAGGAGGCTTACAAAAAAGAATCGCTAGAAAGGTAAAAGAACAAGTATACCATGACTTGGAACATCTTGTGCATACGGCGATTCAAGTAGAGCGACAAATGAACAAGAAGCTGTCAAAGAATGGGTGCCAACGAACGCCAACGCCAACGCGTATACCCGAAAACCTTTCCAATACCGGAGACCCAATCAAGGCGCAAAATCTTGATGCTCGAAAGGACGAAACTATCTTATATAAAAGAGAAGTCCACACACGAGGTAACAAAACTTCTTCCTCGTGTACTTATTTTACTTCTGAGGTTTCGTGTTCGGAGTGTAGGAACCAAAGTCATTTGCCCAGTGGAAATTCCATCCGATAAGAGGTGAGCATCAAGGATAACGGGGCATATAACTCAATCGCGATGGCTGTGGCGAGGCACCTTCAGGATGATTTCGAAGTTCCATCTGACAAGGAGACCAAGAGCGTGACCGAAATGAAAGAAACGGTCGAGAATCCCGGCTTTGTGACGGAAACAAAACCCAAAAGTTTGGCAAATGTGAGTGAAGAGCGGCAACATGTCAAGGAGAATGCATTCGTAGTCACGAGTAACAAGAAGGAATATGATGCCAAAGAAAGCGAGGATGAGAAGCCGAAGGAAAACGTACTTGAAAAGTCCAAGGCAATATTGGTGAAAATCTGCAAGGACTACACAGTGCTTCCAATAACAGAATCTCCACATCTCGGAACAAGCGCCCAAGAACGTATGATCAAGATCAATGGTTATGAGGACTACATGGTACCCGATGCTCCAAACAACCACACAAGTCTCATAGGTTATCCGCTAGGAGGCAACCCCGGTAATTTCGTTCCTCTTTATATTCTTGTTTATGATTCTTGTCTTAATGATGCCATAGCCCGATTTGCGTCCGAAAAAGGGGTTTGGAATTTGAAATATTTTTACGAACATCTCGGGAAGAACACTTGTTGCACTAACATATTTGCTGCCCTAGATTATGACCGAAATGAAAGAAACGGTCGAGAATCCCGGCTTTGTGACGGAAACAAAACCCAAAAGTTTGGCAAATGTGAGTGAAGAGCGGCAACATGTCAAGGAGAATGCATTCGTAGTCACGAGTAACAAGAAGGAATATGATGCCAAAGAAAGCGAGGATGAGAAGCCGAAGGAAAACGTACTTGAAAAGTCCAAGGCGATATTGGAGAAAATCTGCAAGGACTACACAGTGCTTCCAATAACAGAATCTCCACATCTCGGAACAAGCGCCCAAGAACGTATGATCAAGATCAATGGTTATGAGGACTACATGGTACCCGATGCTCCAAACAACCACACAAGTCTCATAGGTTATCCGCTAGGAGGCAACCCTGGTAATTTCGTTCCTCTTTATATTCTTGTTTATGATTCTTGTCTTAATGATGCCATAGCCCGATTTGCGTCCGAAAAAGGGGTTTGGAATTTGAAATATTTTTACGAACATCTCGGGAAGAACACTTGTTGCACTAACATATTTGCTGCCCTAGATTATGTCTTTGATTTACAGGTGTTCCAAACTCAGAAGGAGAACGTTTGCAGGGAGAAAAAGACAGAAAACTCGATTATCCTCCCAACGCAAAGGCCGCATGAAATGCCTAGTCCTAATCACGGACTCATGGATATGAATAGGGATAATAAACCTTTCAGACGAAAAAAGGTTCAATACCACAACATCGACCTCACAAAGGATAAACCTTTCGAACGGGGAAAGGCTCGAAAGAAAGTGCTAGGAATTTTCGAAGCACGCCAAGACCAAGGTAAGTATGACATAACTTATATGTTCACTAATGCTGACTTGGCCCCGTTTGATGTAGGAAAAACAGTTTAGAGGACGAAACCTCCAGAAGAGGGAGGGAATGATGAGGACCTCGGAATCCCGAGCGATGCATCAAACTATATCTTGGAGATAAAAGAACGCATGGAGCTAATGATAGCTTGGAGCGGGAGCATGGAC